TCTTACCTTCACAATATTCGTAATGGAGCTTCACTTTGGCACTGCTGACATCGAGGGCTAAGGATTTGGGGGAGAGGGGCTGTCCAGCGTAGCAGAGTGTCAGGCTGAATACGGCACCCCCCGCCCCCCACTGCATGGAGGCGCATACCCTAATCCCCCCTGAAGCCGTGAGTACGGCACCTTGAAGGGGGAAACCGGCTTTGCAGGTGTGATTAAGCGTTTTGAGATGAGCGGGGTATTGGGGGTTGGCGGTATGGGCCCAAAACAATTGCAAGGGTTCTTATTAGAGGTGAGGAGCGGGGAGGGGAAGAGGGAGAGAGATGGGAGGTTGCGAAGAGGCTGGGTGGGAGGGGAGAGGAGGAAGGCCGGCAGCTGGGGGGGCGCGGGGGGGCGGGCAGCCCCGCCCTGGAGGCCCCGGGAGGGTCCAGTTCAGCTAACACCTTGACCTCCACCCAAGGACACCCTCTCACCTCCAGACTGTGTTATAATCAGGCTGTGTTGTTTGATGCCTCTTCCTTTGTGGCCATTTGTTACAGCAGCCAAGGGAAACTACCCCCTTCCCCTTCCCCGTCCCCTGGCAGGGCACGATGTGGGTACAATGGGCCTCGGAGGGGAACCACTGAACTCAAGTTATCCTTTACGGAGCTTTTCCCCGTGTGGCCTCGCCGGCTGCCTCCCCAGCATCTCGTGTGACCCCACGGGGTGCCCCGAGTGGGCCTGATTACCTCCCGGCCCCTTCTGCAGCCGAAGGCGCAGGGCCGCCAAGTGGGCGCATGCAGACAGGGAGGGCACAGCCGCGATCCGCCCCCAGGGCCCCACGGTCTCTGTTCGGGCCCGCGTGGGCGCACCCCATGCCTCCCACACCTCGTGGGCTGTCTTGGCCCCAGCCCTCCTGGCTTGGGGCCTTTTCCTGGTTGGGCTGCTTCTCCACCAGCTGGTGGAGGCTCAGCAGATGGCGGCAAAGGCCAAAGGTTCCTGGGTGGGGGTGGGCGGGAAATGAGGGAGTGAGTCACAAATGCCCGGCTGGTTGTTGAGTCCCTGACAGCTTCTTCAGTGACATGGTCAAGAGCACTGGCTTAGAAGCCCGGTGGCCTGGCTTCAAATCCCGTCTGTTCTTTGGGCAATTGCCTCAGTTTACCTGTCCGGGCAACAGACTCCTTGAGGGTCAGCTGCACCTGCCCTTCTAGTTTAGTTGCTCGGGGACCGTTATTTCTCAGGGGCTCTGCAGGAGGAGCGCTCACAGAACGCAAGCACTGGTCCTGCCTGTCCTCTCCCCACCTGCTGAGCAGGTGGGTTCTGGTTTCATCCATCAGGTAGGAGATGGGGCTGTGCCTCCGGGTGATGGGCTTATGATCAGGGCTGGAAAACCTGGTTCAGAATCCAGAAGGCTCAGCCCCCAGCGCGGGCTCCCCTTATCATCCCGGCCAAGTCACTTAACCTCCCTTGGTCCCCATATACTCATCTGTTTAAGAGGATGATAAAAGATGCTTGGAAAATGCTGGGTGCTCAGTAGGCCTTTATGAGACTAAGCTCTCCTGACATCAGGAGGGACCTGGATTTGCTACAGCAAATGACTCTTAACACCATGATCAGCTGAAGATAATGAATCCTGGGGTGGGTCAGAAGCTACTTTTGTCCCAGGTGAGGATGTAAGGTCTGGAGCCACAGCAGCCTCTTTGTCACCACCAGAGCAGAAGTCCTCAGGGTTAGAAGGTCTCTATGTGAGAAATCTGAGTCCGTGGGAGGCCACCCCAAGCCATGGAGGGACAGCTGGTCACATTATCTGAGATGCTGAAAGAAGCCTTACCTGAAACCTGTTCATTTCCAAAAGCTAGCACGTGTGCGCACGCACACAAACACACAGCTTTGTTCAAAGCAAAAATTTCAAAAGGACCTGCAATATGTCCATCTACACTTCTTAACTAATTCATAAATATATATTTTTAAAATCTCAGTTTCATTTATGTTTTCAAATCTCAATTTCATTTTTCCACTTGAAATTTCATCACCACCTTCACCTGGCCTCTCATTCCGGGCCAGCCCGGCTGCTTGATCGATTTTCTGCGCAGCCTCAGGTCTCCGACTCCTCTCCCTCCCCCGCTCTTTGTCCTGTGCCCTTGTTTTAGGAGAGGGCACCCGTCTGCCTCCTCCCGAGAAAGGGGCCGTGAAAAGAAAGCCTTTGAGCCCTTCCACTGGAGAAGGTCCCCATAACCTTCGCCCAAGGAGCACCCCACAGGAGACAGCCAAGCCAGGGAGAAAGCATTTTCCCCGAGACCCTGAAGACTTTTCTTCCTCCTCCACGTGGCCCTGGAACCGTCCCGGCGTTTGAACGGCAACGTGATTTTTGGCGTGTGATCCCTCTTTGTTGAACCTCCAAAGGCTTTCAGCATCGCTTTATCCCTAGTTTTCCAAAGTTTCCTTGTAACAGGTGCCTTGGTTGAGGCTTTGTAGCCACTGTGCCAAGTAGGAGGGCGCTTTTCCATCTAGAAATTCACAATCAGTTGGGGGTGTTTTGGTTTGTTTGTTTTTTTCTTTTTTGGAATAATTCATACCTCCTACTTTGTCCATACTCTCCACTTATGAGATGCAGGACTTACTCCATTAATCCTGTCAATTTCTCACTTCTGTTATTGTCCATTTTACAAACAGATCTTTATCTACTACCTTGGGAATTTTTCTCATTGTCTTCCAACTCTTCTATTTTTTTTTTTAATTTCAGCTTTTATACTTAAAACGTTGAGGAGCTTCTCCTCATTCTCTCCTAAACTTTCTTTTTTCTAACAAACCGTTCCTGCTTCCTGGTTGTGGTTTCCTCGTCCACCCTTGGAGGGTGTTAACGTTGCAGGTTGATGTTTTCTTCTGTTCCCCGCACTTTTCTCTCGTTCCTCATCATTCCTATGTTTTTTTTGTTGGTTTGTTTGTTTGACCTTCAAGTTGGAAGCTTTTCTCAAATATCTTGTGAACATATCTTTTAAAATAAAATCCAATCTGAGTAGGATTTTTCTGTAATTACAGGCTGCTAACAACCCCGTACCTGCCCATCACGCACCCTCCCCAATTTAAAGCCGCAAGTGCCCACGGATTGCACCTTGTCCCCTAAACATTCTGTCAAAGAGGCAGAAGAGGCCTTCTTGGTGTTGGGTAAAGTAGGGACAGATGCACAGAGAAGGTTAAGAGACTGGGCGTGTGTACAAATCCACGGAGTGACTCAACTCCACGATTGTCCCTCTAATGAAGTGCCTTCTCTCTCCTTCAATAAGGAAGGCCCGTCCCTGCTTGGAGATCCCTGGGAAGACATGCCCACACCTTCCGGAAGTGGACACCTGCTGTTCGCCAGCTCAGTCCCCTGCCTGCCCTGTCCTGGGTTACAGGCCTGTGGATGACCTCACTTCCCTCACCACAGCAGTCAGTCAGAGTCCTCCCCTCTGTTTGATTGGTTCCAGGGTCAGCACGTGACCCACGCTCGACCAATCGGAATTCTCTCCGGGACATTCCACCATCGGTGTTTGGTTTGAAGAATTTCTGCTTGGTTGCGGAGCTGGCAGGCCATAGCCTCGGGTGACCAGCAGCCTCACAGACAGAGAGTCAGAGAGATGGAGAGAAAGGGGCCTAAAAATAACGCGTGACCCCCGGGATCCAGCCAAATCAAGGGATACCTGGATCAAGCAAGGTTTCCCTCGATTGGTCCATTGCACGAGGGGCTCGATTCCCTTTTCTGAGCCTGGGTGCGCTAAGGTTCAGTCACTTGCAGCCCAAACGCTCCTGAATTACTCCCCAACTCTTCCTCTTGCTCTAAGCCTCTGACATGGTCTGTCTGCTAAACCCCTGCAGGTGAGCAGTCCTGTCTGGGCTCACCTGAGACAAGTGGGGAAGCTGGGATGGGCTTTGTGAGCAGGTCATGGTGGTTTGGGAAAACCACTTCTAATTCCTGGGGCGGAGTCCTGCTCCCCACTCCGACCCCCTGTGCAACTTCGGGGGCTGCAAGTTCTGTGTGCACATAGGAGAGGGGTGGGGGGGGGTGAGCTAGTGACAGCCAGGGAGTGGGGGATGGACCGACTTAACCGTGCTCTACTCTTAATGGTGGCGGGCTCATTTTCTTCCTGAAGGGGCTGTGGCTGGCCTTCACCTGCGGCCCCCGTTTTCTGCGGGCAGCGCTGGGTCAGCATGTTGATGACACATTAATTACACAGCGAGGGGGAGTCTCCCTGGGAGAGTGGGAGCGCTGCTTGGGGCTGACAGCAGGCGCGGGGGCGGAGCTCTGAGGCGCTTTCTCTTCTTCGCTGGTGTGGGCCTGGTTAACCACCGACCTCAGATGACCTTGGAGGCAGGCGGTGGGTTTTCCGCTCACCGCAGAGGGAAGGCAAGGCCGGAAGCAAGGAGCCAAAGCTGATTCCAAGACCCGGTACCTGGTGGCATGTCTGCAAACCAATTCCCGGTAATTGGAGGGCCCCAGGTCACCAGGGCGGCTGAGATGGCTGCCCCCAGTAGGCTGGGCAATTACAGCCCAAGGGACAAGTTCCCCCCATCTCTCCCTCCAGTGCATCCAGGACCGGCCCAGCTCTCCCTGGGGTACGTGTGCGGGCGGGGCTGTGCTTGCTCAGAGTCAGCGCCAAGTCCAGCTCCCAGGCGCGTGCGGTCTGGCTCTTTTCTCCCTCTCTGGGCCACAGGGGAAGGTGGTCCAGGAGGGCGTGGGGGTTTGGCCTGGGCCCTGCGGGCTGCCTGGGCACTCTCCCGTCCGCCCACCTCCTCTCAGCACCCCAGGGTCCTGGGGGCTGCCCTGTCATTCTGCTCTTGGCCACCGCAGACCCGGCATGGCCCAGCCCATGTGCTGACTCATGCTGGCCACAGGTCAGGAGGCAAGAAGGTCAACAACAGCGTTTATGGGACACGACCGGTCATACAAGGCGAGGGCCCGCGGGCTCCCATGCAGCCTCTGTCGTGGCGCGTCCACCCTCGGGCTCTTTGTCCTGATCCCACCTCCCCCAGGACCCTGCTCTGGGTCAGGCCACCGAGGGGCCGTCTTCTGTGGCTCCGGGGTCCCTGCTGTCAAGAGTCATAGCTTCCAGGTGGGCGGTGACCGAGTCCATGTCCCGATGAGCCTCACGACCCTCATGAGGGAACTCGCCCCTGGGCTCTGCGGCTTCGGACGGAGGAGCTGGGGGAGAGACAGGCCGGACAGACGCGTGAGCCACCTGGCCTCCGACGACCACGGCGACTGGGTTCACTGGGGGCCCAGGCTGCTGTCCCCTGACGCAGGCCTGGCCCCGTCCTTTCTAACCCGGACCATTACAGTAGCCCCTGCTCCTCCATGTCCTCCCACGGCCCCCTTTGTTCTGTCCCCAAACTGTCTTCACGGAGACGCTGAGGTTGCGCACCACATTGCATCGCCCCTGTTTAAAACCCCGCAGGGACGCCCCAGCTCGCTGCAGAGACTCGGCCCTTTCCCGGGGCGTCCAGGCTCCGAGAGACCCGCCCTCGCCCATCAGTTCTCTGCCTCCTGCTCGCTCAGGGCCTCTGCGCTTGCCATTCCCCCGCCTGCCACGCGGCCCCAGGCCTTCGCGTGGCTGGCTCAGGGGCCCCTCCTCCCGGAGCCCTCTCTGCTGCTCGGCGAGGGCGGGTCCTCCCGTTACAGCACTGCCCGCCCTCCCCAGGGTCTGGGGTTTGCTCAGCGCTGGTCTTTCTTTAAAAGGCTTGATCACTTTGTGAGCTGGCTCCACTCCCTACTGGACTCTGGTCCCCACCAGCAAGCGGGAAATGGTCCTCCGTCTTGTCATGCCTGTCTCGGGGAGGGAGCGCTGAGGGCGGGTGCGGCTAGAGTCGGTGGGGGCGCAAAGGAACCGTGTCTTCCTTGTCTGAGATAGTGGGAGAAGGCGGCCGCGATGCCGTTATCCTGGGAAGAACCAGTGGACTGAGTGACTAAGGGCGGAGGGCTAAGAAGAGAGGAGGGGCATCATGTTCCAGAAGGTTCCGAGGAGGGGCAATGGCACAGGCATGTGGCCGGAGCAGGCTATTTTTATCACCCTCATTTTGCGGGTGGAGATGTGGGCTGAGTGCTCAGGGATGGTTGGGTCTCGGGCTAGAAAGCCCCGGCGCCCTCTCATCCCCTCTTTACTACGATGCCTCACTACACCCCAGGCTCTGGTGAGTGGGAGGCTTATGCCTGACTGCTGAACAAATGAATGAATGAGTGAGTGAGAGAGGGGGAGGCAAAAAGCTTTCAGAGGCCCCGCCCTGCCCCGGCTCACCAGCGTCCCCTGCCGGCTCCGCAGCTGCCTCCCCAGCTGGCCGCCCGCCGTCCCAGCTGCTGTCCTGGGGCCCTGTCCCTCCTCCAGGGCCAGCTGCCCCCAGGTCGACGTGCATCCGGTTGCTGTTGCCGATGGTGGCGTCCTCCAGGAAGCAGGCCTTGATGAGGACTCTCTGGGTCACGTCCCCGTCCGCCTCAGGCTGAGGTCCTGGTGTGGGCATTCGGATTTCGAACAAAGCTTCTGGGTCAGCCGTGGTGGCGGAGACTGTGGGTGGGTCCGCGGAAGAGAGACGCCGGGTGGGGGGTGAGCAGCTGGGCAGGGCCCGAGCCAGACCCCCTGCCTGGCCCTCAAGTCCTCCAGGCCGCCTCTGGCCCCCACTTCGTTCCCCCTACCCAGCCCGGGCTGCGGGCCCTCTGTTCCTCCTCCCCCTCCCCCAGGCCAGCCAGCTTGGATCTCACGTCCTCGTGCTGCCAGGCTGGCCTGGGCCTCCACGCTGTCTCCGGGCTCTACCACCCCCGCACCTCTGCCTCCTGCCCCCACCCCTGCTGTGGGCCGCCAGCGGCTCTAGAACAATGCCCCCAATTTCAACAATTCGGTTAAAATCTGCTCAAGGCCCAGTCCCCGGCTGTCCTCCCCCTGCCTGTCCCACTAAAACTTGGAAAAGACTTGTCTGCGCTCAGTCTCGCCTCCTCCCATCCCCCACACTCCTTCTGCCCCTCCGGCCACCACTGACCATTTGCTGCTGGACCCTGCAGGGCTCCCCCGACCTCGCTGGCCTCCTGGAAACTGCGGCCCAGCTCTCCCTGCCCTCTCAGGCCCCGCTGCTGGCTTTCTCCCCAGCCTGCTGCTGGATTGCCAGCGGCGGGGAGGACGCAGCCTGGGCCCCCCGGTCACCGTTGACAGTGCATAGTAGGGCACCGGGTACTGAGGTGGCTCCTGTCTGCCTCCCTCCTTAGATGCCCCTCCATCCGCCACCCCCTCTGACTGCGTTTCGGCAGCATGCCCATGGTACGGATGAAAACACCGGGGTTTCCCGAGTGGCACAGCAGGGCTGGGCGCCTGAGCGCTGGCTCTAAAAGCCCTGCCCGCTCCACTCTGCAGTGCAGCCTCCTGGTGGATGGAAAGGAATTTCCCATCGTACCTCTCTGCCAGCAAGTGCTAGCTGAGGTTCCACGCGGTGAGGAGCCGGATGGGTGGGGTGGGGCGGGGCGGCGGTTACCTGGGGGGCTGCCGGAGAGGCTGCTGCCGGAGGGCCCGTGGCCGGGGCCCGTGGCTGGGGCGCTCTGGAGGCTCATCTCGTTGCCATGCCCCAGCTGCACCCGTCGGAGCACAGACTTCTCCAAGTGGATGTCCTGGGGCCCCCAGGGTCCAGCCAGGGGGTCCTGAGTTGAGGGATCAGCTGGGGCCAGAGGAGGGAGGCAGACGGGAGCCGTGGAGCCTGGCAGGAAACAGAGCAATGTGACCTCTGACCTCTGACCTCTACCCACTGACCTTACCGGCACCCACACACACACAGTCCTGGCTGGGCCGAGGAGACAGGCCTCTGAGGTCTTCCTGGGCACCATTGGACAGGTGGGCCCAGCGGAACCGTTCCTGTGGGGTTCCCTGGGGTGCACCCCTCGTGCCGGGGAGGGGGTCACGGGGGTGCTCCACACTGACGGTGAGCACGCCCTCTACTGGCTAGTCATCCTCGTCCTCTGAGCCCATCGGGAGGAAGCCCCCTTGGGTGTCAACACATCTTTAAGGAGGGCCCAGGACTGCCCATCTTGTCTTCTCTCAGTGTTATTTTTATGATGAACTTCCTGGTTTCCAGCATCAGGTAAGGCCATGCAAATTTACTGTATTTTGCCATGTACAATGCGCACTTTTTTGGCCCAAATTTTTGAGAGAAAAATAAGGATGTGCATCACACGTGGGTAGTACTGATTCCATATCTACATCAATGTGTTTTAATTCTTTTATTGATGCTTACGCATTAAAAGTGTAACTCTAGAAAGCAATGACGATGTCTGTATGCAAAATCATACCCTGGAATACGATAATTGGTTTTGTTTCTAAATATAAATAAATCATTGAATTAAACAATTAAAATGAGAGGTTTTTTTTCCCCCTGAAAGTTTGGGCCAAAAACGTAGGTGCATTGTACATGGCAAAATACAGTACTTTAAAATGAATTGGAGGAGAAGGAAAGGGAAGCCATTTAACAACATTAGGTCAATAATCAGACATGGGCGTGCCCAGAGCTGGGCAAGGGGAGGTCGTGGTTGGGTGAATGTCGATCTAGAATCCAGGACAAAGTTCCTCCTGTCACAGTTGGGAAAACGGAGGCCCAGAGAGGAGAGGAGGTCTCTTGAGGTCACAAGGAGCGTTCCCACTTTGGGGCTGCTGCACTCACTAGTGTCCCCAGGGGGCGCTGAGGGGTGGCCCTATGTCCTCTCACCACAGTGCCTGGCAGGACTGAGTTTCATCCAAACTAGGGCGCCACTGCTCTGGCAGGGGGGCGGGGGCTCTGCTGGTTGGAGCGTTGTCCCGTACACAAATGGCTGCAGGTTCGATTCCTGGTCAGGGCACATACAGGAGGCAACCGACCCATGCTTCTCTCTCTCTCTCTCTGTCTCCCTTCCTCTTTCTCTCAAATCCATAAACATATCCTTGAGTGGAGAGTAAAAAAATGAAACCAAACCAGGATGCTGCTGATGAGATGCATTCCAATATCTGAGATGTTACAGTGTGTGTGTGGGGGCGGGGGGGAGGACAGTGTGTCTCAGAATAAGCAAAGCCCTGCAATGACCCTCCGTGACAGTCTACTGAGGGCGTGTGAGTTGAGCTTCTTCTCCTGGGAAAATATCGGGTCCCCTGGAAAGGGAGGCAAAAGGTATCAGAATGAAGGGAAATCAGGAGGGGGTTGATCCAGGTGCAAGGAAAGACTTCCCTGTTCTCAGGAGACTAGGAAGGCGGACCTGGGCCGTCGGAAAGCCACCCTGTTCCCCGCCCCCTCCCAGACAGAGCAGCTGCCCCCAGAAGCACCCTCTCCTGGCCACTCACTGTTGTCCCCCATGGTCATTTGTCTCACTATGCTGTTCCCGTGCCCAATCTGGACTGCCTCGGAGCTCTTGATGGAAATGTGGCTGTTCGGTCCATTCTGACAGATCATGTTGATTGGATTTTGCTGGTAAATGATGTTGGTTGTCTTTCCCTGATGTCCTTCCCCAGAATCTTCTGCAAAACAAAGCTTCGCTCAATCCCTTTGCCCCTCGAGAGGGGCGGGGGTTCCCATTGCCAGCTTGCAGCATCAAAGTCTCCTGGAAAAGTTGGAGGCACAGAATTCCAGGTGCCCACCCCGGGGGGCACTGCGTCACCAGCATGCTTGACAAGTGCCACTAGCATCTTGGATGGCCCTCCCTTGGACATCGTCACGGCAGGTCACCTCTACCTATGTGTCCTCTGCCACCCAGGGAGAATCAAGCGGACCTCACTGCTCCCCCTGCCCTCTGCCCCCTCCTTCCGGGGCAGCCGCACGCTGCCGCTGTGCTCTCTCTAGCGGAGGCTGCAAGGCCACGGTCTGGGGGTCTGCTCCTGGCCACCGGACAAGCTTTGTTTACTTCACGAGGCATTTTTAAGGATCTGAATTTGCTGCCAGTGTTTAGAATTCAGCTGCTGTCGCAGGTGATCATTCCTAGGGGCCAGGTGGGCACCTGCCCGGAGCTTCGCCGACTCCACACATACACACACACACACACACACACACACACACACACACACACACGGCCACCTTCCCCCCTTCGTGGGCCCCTCCCGCCATTATTAAAATATTTAAAGTACATTCTATGATCACGTTGGGATAAAGACACATAATCTAGGCAAGAGTCATTCTTAGCCATTCATTGTTATTCTAATGTTCATTTTCTCCTTCTGACTTTAAGAGAAATTAGGGCATTTCTCAGACCTGTAAAAGTGCCGTGGGCTCTGGGCTGGGCACCTGCTGCGCCTAAGGGCTAAGCCGTCCTGGGGCCCCACTCAGTGGCTATCTGAGCCCCCCCGGGTCCCTTCCAGCAGCTTCAGACCTCCACGTGGGGCCAAGCGCTCGCAGAAAGCTGTGAGCCAGCTCAGGCTGAACCCCGCATGGGGGGCTGATACAGTCAGGAGGGGCTGCCCTCTGCCCAGCCCTGGCCTTCCACAACTACAGCCTCAGGCCACGCCTGCCGGAAGCCTTTCTGGTCACTAGTCAGCGACACCTCCGTAAGCTTCTGGGAGGTTCTGCAGGTGGAGCAGGCCAAGTGCTGAGCAGGGTGCCCAGCAAGGGCCAAGAGTTGGGTGTTAGGGTGTCTCTTCCTCTGCTCTACCCAGGCGTAGGAAGCAGGTAAGGACCTACCTGGTTGATAGATCGCCCATGCCTTTGAATTCTGGTCATGGCTCAGAAGGTGCTTGTCCCTCAGGGCGTATAAGTCGGGGTTGACTTCTTTTGCTGTCTTCAGCCCCAGGAACTGGGCAACGATCAGGGCCTTCGTGGGCCCACTGGCTTCCAGAAACTTGTAGATCTTTTCCTCTGGGCGGCAGGACGGTGGGCAGTTAATAAGGAAGTCCCGGCCCCCCGAGTTTCAGTCCGCTCCACTGCTTCCAAGCCATGCGACCCCAGGCAGACCCAGCCCCTCTGTGCCCGGTCCCCTCAATCTGTAAGCTGCGCAGAAGACAATGCACACAGGGCCGCCCTGTGGACCAGCGACCGACAGCAGGCGCTCCACGCTGCGCCCGGCCCACGTAGGTGGGCAGCAAACGCCAGCTACAGATCCGAGAACCCAGCTGCCAGACAATCAGCTCCTTCCACTGCGGAGACTAGGTGTTGCCTCGGAACAATTTGTGGGGCCTCTTAGGCCCTCAAACCCTCCCAACACCTCAAGCGTCCAAGGAGAGTCTGGGAAGTCAGAGGAAACGGGCCCTCTGTCCCAGGATCTGAAAGGAAACGGGGTACTTACGCCGAACACTGAGCTGACTGCCAGGTTTCTGCGGAGCTGCAGCTGTGACTTGCCGGGGACTCTCTGCTGGAGAAAGAAGGTGGTTGGAGAGTAGGGGACCAGCAGCGGGGACAGGGACTCTACCAGGTGCAGGTGGGCACCTGGTGTTCCAAGCTCTGATTCTCGAGTTCGACAGACTTGGCTTCAAATCCTGCCCTGTCCCTTCCCAGCTGTGTGCTTCCCGGCTACCTCGCTGCCCCTCCCCTGGGGAAGGGAGTCGGATACTGCCGCCTACCTCCGGGTGAACCTTGGGGGCCGCGACGGCCCGTGGCAAGCACTGGGCTAATGCCAGCTCTTCAGGGGCATTTGTGGGCTATGGAGCTAGAGAAGGGGAGCTAGCTGACGTTAAGTGTGTTCTATTATTATTATCCTTATCACTATTACTGTCGTTGTGATTACTTGCTGTTGTTATTATTGTAGCTTGCTGAGCACGCACTATGTGCTGGCACTAGCCTGAACGCTTGGCATCTCGCAACTCGATGAAGCAGCCTTGCTGGTATGTCCACTGGCCCAAAAAGGCAACTGAGGCACAGGGAGGGGGCGTGATGCAGCTGCCTGTATTCACCCCTACTGGTCCGTGGCTGGGCCTGTGGTGCTGTGTCCCACCCACCCCCCCGGGACGGCCGGTTACCGTTGCTGGGCAGGGCCAGCTCTGCAGAGAGCGGCCCGCCCGTCCCAGGCTTGCCCAACTGCCACGTGGCGGGGCCAACAAGGGCCACTCGTGACTCTTTCTTCATCTGGTAGAGAACTTGGTTGAGTGTCTTCTTGGGCACTTGGCATTTCTTCACCAGATGGACAACCTTCACCGGGTAGGGTGCGTCCCCCAGCACCTGGAGGATCTTCTGCTCAAGATCTGGGGGAGGGGAGAGGGTGGGGTGCAGGGAGCTGAGTGCCCCTCGTGGGAGCCGGTCTGGAGGCTGGGGTGGGTGGGGCAGGGAAGGCCCTGTGGGAGGGGCCCGGGCAGAGGCCCAAGCAACGACTGCCAATCACACCTCTGTTCCGTAGGGGCACATGGGCTGGTCAGAAACGGCCTTGGCTGGACGGCCTGGTGGCCTGAGGAGGCGCCCAGGCGGTTTGTGCGTCCTCCACCTGCTGCGAGTGGCTGGAGGACACGTGGACGCGTGGCTCTCAGGTGTCCTCAAAGCAGAGGGGAGTGGAGGGGGCAGGGTGAGAAGCGGGGAGGGGCGGTGGGGCAGCGTCTCCCCCCATCTCCCTAACAGGCTTCCGGAAACATCTCTCTCCCCGGTGCCCACGCACGCACGGAGCCCTGGGAGCGCTGTTCTTCGCGCTCCCGCGTCCCCTCTCCGCCTCCCCTCTGCTACCACGCCCCCACCCCTCTGCCCCGCAAGACCCCACAAGCCCGGACAGCTGTTCTGAAGGCACTGCGAGGTCAGCTTGGTGCAGACGTGGCGCCCCAGGACCCGGGAGCTGCCGAGGGCCACTGTGGGTGGCAGCCCGGCCTGTCCCCAGGAAATGTCGGCCCCCAAGAACCCCGAGGGCAATGCTAAGCAGGGGGCCCTCCTCGGGGAGGTCGGGTCCCCTTCTAGGCGGTGGCGGCACTGGAGGGGGAAGGGATGTCAGGTTCTGGACTGCACAGCGGGGCTTGCAGCTTCCGTTTGTGGTCACAGTGTTTTTGTCCTTGCTGGGCAGGCGAGGGGTGATGGGAATACCTGGGGGCACCTACCCCTCCACCCCCAAAATTCGGCCCTGAGCAGCAGTTGGTCCCGGAGACCCTTTCGACTGCACACTTGGCTTCACCTCATCTTGAAAAGAGATTTGATTCTTGAAAAGCCTGCCCCTGGGTGAGCCTCCTTCCTCCTCGCCTGCCTCCCAGACACAAAGGAAACCTGAGGTCGAAATGTGGAAACTGCAGGGGGTGGGGGGGGGCAGGGCAGGGGTGCCGAGCGTGGGGCTGGCCTGGCAGCTGAGGCCTCCAGCGAGCGGGAAGTCATGAAATGGACCAGGGGTCAGGGATCAGTTGGTAAGGAGAGGAAAGCCCACCAGGGGAGAAGTAAACTTCAGTCACCAAGTGCCCTTGACCGGTCCCCTGCATGTCCCTCTTTCTGAGATATGACAGGAACCTGGGCACCTGTCTGGAGCCCGGGCCACGCCCTGCCCTCCCCCCTCCTTGGCGAACCCTCTTTTCTTCTTTCTTGTTCTCTGGGGACTAGTTTCCTGGGTGTGAGCCCCAGCTCGGCCACCTCCTAGCTGTGCAAACGCTCTGTGCCTCAGTTTCCCCATCTGTGAACTGAGGGTAATAGCACCTGCTCCGAAGCCTGGGGTGAGGATGAAATGAGCTAATGACACCCATAACAACAGCAACAGCAACACAACTGCGAACCCTACCCACCGCCCAGAGCGGCCCGGAGGGCGCCCCCGGAGGTGGCGGGGAGCCAGGAGTGAGGTGTTATCAGAGAGAAAAATGTGACCGGGGAAGTGTGTGGTTTTTAATCGAAGCAATGGCTGCTGTTGCTCCAAACAGTGTGAGGCTGGGCGCTCAGCCACAGTGTTGGCCGGGCCCTGAGTCACCCCACCTCTCCGGCTTCAGTGGCTGCTGGTGTGAAAAGGGGACCTTGGCGCGCGTGCCGCTGAGGCTGTTGCGCAACCCGTGGCCAGCGTGCGGCCAGGTGCCCTGGGCAGAGCAAGCCTCCCCTCCCAGGGGCCTGTGCGCCAGGATACCATCGCGATGGCTGGGACCCTGCCATCTGGGCCAAGCAAAGGAGCGCCAGTCCCCACAGGGACTCCCACTCTTCCCGGGAAGGAAGAAATACCTGTCTTGCCAGGGTCCCCCGATGCCTCGGCCATGCTGCCAGCAGCAGCTGCTGGAGGCCCCAGGAGACTCAGGGTGTGGCGGCCGCTCCTGCACTGTGCTGTGCAGAGGGTGGGCTGGGTCGAGGCCGGGTGTCCCTGTGTCGCTGAGCCTGGGGCTCCTGGCAGCTGAGACAAGAGACCAGCTTTGTGGAGCAGCTGTCAGCTGTTCTCACCCGGAAACAGAGGCCCTGTGAGCCCAAGATGATCAGCTCAGGAGAGAAACGGAAAATGAAACTTGGCGTGGCTTCCGAAAGAAACAAAATTGAAAGCAAAATTGATGAGCAAGATGGAGCGAGGGGCCTCCGACTAGACCTGGGCAGGGAGAGATGAGTAAGGCAAGACCAGAATGCCCTCGGGCCGGGGGTTCCCTGCACTTCCAGGTGCCCCTCGACGCCCTCCCTGACACCCTGGCGACAGAGGCTAAGTCACCTGGGTGGGTGGATGAGTGCCCGCCACCGTGTGCATTTCAAAATGACCACTCCCTTCCATGAGCACTTCCTCTGTGCTTTCACACCTCAGGTGTCCCCCGTAACTCATCTCCAGGGTAGCGACCGGTATTGGTCTCTTTTCTCAGAGGGGAAATTGAGGTTCAGGTTGACGAGCTCACTCATCCAAGGCCACAGAAATGTTTGGGTCCTTCCCATCCCCTCCCCACACAGTTACCGGCTCTGTGACCTTGGGCGAGGCATTTAGCTTCTGTGTTTACCCGTCTGGTCGTAAAATCAGACCTCAGGACTAAGGAGTTAACGCCGCTGAGCACTCAGAGCCTCCGGCGTCTTCTACAATTACCAAGTGCTTTTGGCGTCACGAGCACAGTTGGGGCCCCACACGTTTCAGGGGAAAAACACCTGTTGCTTTCCTAAGTGATCCCCAGCAGGCCAGGGCCCCTGCCTACGCTCTTTCAGGTGCTAGAGGGGAAGCGGGGGCCTGCAGAAACGAAGGGTTGTGCGTGAGGCAGCGAGGGGAATCAAGAACTTGCCTGGGAAGTCCCTGGGCTCGAGGCCCCAGCTGCACAGGCCTGAGCAGGCCGGCGGGTGTCCCTGCCCCTTCGAGGGACCCTGGCTGGCAGCAATGGGGAGCACCTCTGCCAAGACGGGGATGAGGAACAGCGGCAGCAGCGAGGGAAAACGGTCCCCGGGGCCTGTTGAGCAGCCGTCTTTGCAGAGCAAGCAGAAAAAGTCCTGATGCCCGGGCCACGTTGGGGCCAGTTTCACCTGACTCTTAGGGGTGGGGCCAAGAGTCCCAGGTGATGTCATCGGCCAGGTGCGGTGGTGGAGAGTTGGCCCATTCAACACAACCAGGAAACCACAGTGAGGCACTTGGTTCCTTGTTCCTTTTATGTAAAACCGAAGAAACGTGGATCTCTCTGTGAACGGATGATATTAATGTTAAATGCGAGGTGGTCCCCGGTGTTGAGGGAGGTTGTGGAAGGGGGTCCGGCAGAGCCTGCAGTGACCCCTGGGAGGCACCATGTCTGGACTGGCCACCGGGGCACCTGCTCACCGACCTGGGCCCTGCGCGCCTCTGCCGGGCCCCCTGACGGAGCTGGACCGACCTCCTACCCATCATCTCCCCAGGGGAACGCCAGTCCATTGGGCCTGACCCTGGCTCTCTGGCGCCCTTCTCGGCCTCCCCTCAGGCTCTTCGGCTCCTCCCCGGAGCGCCGCTCCCCTGTGGACCCAGGTGCCTCCGACTAGTCGCGGGCAGGGAGAGACGAGTAAGGCAAGACCAGAATGCCCTGGCGGGCTCGCAGGTCAGGCTGAGGGGCTCAGCCTTGATCCTGGAGGCCAGGCTGGCTTCTGGAAGGGCCGCGTGTGTTCTGGTGGTGAAGGCTGGCACCCTCATTGCCATCGGGGCAGTGTTCAGATGGCCCCTTCCTGTCCCCAGGAGGCCACGTGCAGCCTCCCCGCTAGTTCTCTGGGGGTCCCCAGGGACCCTGCACAGGAGCCCCTGCGCTGGGAGGGCCAGTGCCCTGGGGGAGGGTCACCTTCTTCTCCAGGGCAGGCCCTGCTCCTCCCCAGCTGAGGGTCACAATCTTTTGGAACCTCCGTTTCTTTAAGTATAAAACAGATAATAAAGAAGAAAAAGAATATCTACATGCTCAGTAGGTGCTCAAAAGGTAGAAGATGCACCATGATGCATCTCTGCAATATAACCTGAGGCGCTAGGCAGAAGAAGAAAAAGTGAGAGAGAAAGAGAAGAAAAAACGATTTGGTTTGGGTGGGCTCCATCTTCCCTAAGGCTGTACAGCGTGCCTGAGGTTCTCGGAAGCCCTGAACCTGTGTGAGCGTCTCACCACGCTGAGTGGGATTCTCCCTTTTAAAGATTTGGATTGCCTTTTAGTTCTCATCTCAGTTTAAGAGGCTTATTCAAGATGACTTTGGCTTTAAAGATTGTGCTTACCCCAAATATCAGCAGCTGAACCAATCCAGACACTTCTGTCTTTCTCCTCTAAGAGTCCAGAGAATAGTCTAGGATCCGTGTGACACACCACGGTGTTGAGACCCAGGCCCCTTCTGTCTTGTTGCTCTGCCATTTGTGGCCCCCATTCCGAGGTTAGCCTTGTGTGCTAGGATGGCTGCTTAAGTTCCAGCCATCACATCTGCATTTCTTCCCAGCAGGAAAGAAGGAAGGAAGGAAGGGCAGAAGGCCACAGATCTCCCTTTTCAGAACACTAGCAAGTTACATACACATTCTGCTGACCTCCCATTTGTCTCATGTCTGGGCAAGGGAGCCTGGGATAAACAGTCTTTATTCTGAGCCAAAATGCATCCAGCTAAAACTGAGGGCTCTATTACTTACAATATGGGATGACAGATATTGGAAGGCACCTAGCTGTCCCTTTTATTGTGAGGCTCTGTTGTTCCTTTGAGGAAGAAACGAGGCTACCCTCTCTGTGCCTGTAGGTGTGGCCACTCACGGGATGTGTTTATTGGTCAGGCCCAAGACCGAGTTCAAGGGCAGTTTCCATGCACTCCGAGCACTGAAGGCGGGAGGGGCGAGGAAGGGAGTCAGGGACACCGGTGTCCCCTGAAATTTCTTTTTGCCTCGAAAAGCACACTCACTCCTTTTTCATGACTCGTGTTTTTCTGGAAACTGCTAGAACTCTCCGCCCAAACCAGATGATAATGACATATTGCCGATCTCGAGTCTTTAAATTTTTCCCTTTCTCTCTTTTAAAAGTGGGGTATTTTTGCTGAGCATTGTGTGGGCGAAGCCCAGTCCCCTTCCTCCCAGGCAGCCTGGCTGTTATGTTCACGCTTGCTCTGTGAACTCATGTCGGGAGAGCAAGTGGAAAGGTTGGAAGGCACCCAGTGTGGAGAATAGCATGTCCATGGTCAAGGACAAAGGTCAGAGGTGGCCAGAGAGGCGCAGGGACTGCACAAGGTCGCGGGAGTTCTTGGAGGAAGGAGAGAAACAAAGACCAAACAAACACTAAGCAAAGTTGCTGAGTCACAGGCTCTGTTTGCTGCCTGTCAAGGCAGAACTCAGACATCTGTGCCCACAAGAGTCACGCAGACCTGGGGCTCTGGTCCTGGCACCCCCGCCTGTTAGCTCCGTGCATGGAGCAAGGCCCCACTCGTCCTGAGCTGCAGCTGTGGGCTGGCTGCACAGGCTGGCTGAGCCCCGAGGGTGCTGGCAGAGAGCCCTGGGCACGTGGCATGTGTCCCACACACAGGAGCTGGTCGTACCATCATCGTAGGACCAGCCACCTTCTCTGAGGGGGCAGAGCAGCCCCACTTATTCAGATGGTCATTCACCAAATAATTTCTTGTGCCTTCTTAGTCCCAGGCCACAGGCTGGGGTGTGCGCGAGGACGGGGGAGACGAGAAAGACCCACCCGCTGATGCCTGGACCCACTTCCCTCTCCGACTGCAGGAGCGGTCACGTGGCCCAGCCTGGGGATTGGCAGGTGGGTTAGGCCCAGTCCCGGGTCCCCCACCCTCCGCATGACTGGCCAGGAAAGGAGGACTGGGCAGGCGGGGCTGAGTTGGGGAGCTGGGTGGGCCCAGGGAGTCAGCCTTGGTAGTCACTTGAGATTTTTCCCAGGGGCAAAGGAAGGGCCACTGCAGGATTATCACCCAAGGGGCGGTGAGGGTTTGGAAAGGTGGCTCCAGGCACCTGAAGACGGTGGCAAGGGAGAGGGGAAGTGGCCAGCATCAGGCTGTCCTTGTGCCTTCCTGCCCACACCAACTGATTTCAGAAAGCCCTTCCCTGCATCCAAACAAATATATCGGAATGAATTCACATCTAATTTTTATTTTTATTTTTATAATCGAATGATTTTTAAAAATCCTTTTGCTTCCAAAATTATTTGCCTACAAGAAATTCATTTCATTACAATTGGCCACAAATCCTTCACCGAGTGTCCAGGAGTCTTGGGAATTTTCTCAAAGCGAGACGATTTTACCCGTAAATTTGCTTCAAGTATAATTAAGTGCTATGAAAATTTTATGATGGCTAAATGGAACAATTAATGAACTTGACACATTAGGTTTTATAGACCTTCAATTAAACATGTATTGATTTTGATTTTGCAATTCCCCACCTCCCCCAGCCGTATTTTGGAGCTCAGAAATTTTTGAAGTTCTGGAAGCCTGAGGAGCTAAGACTTCAGGGCCAGAAAGTAGTAAAAAAATAAATAAGATGGGGAGACATGCGTCTTAAGAGACAGGAGTCCCTCGGGGTCATAGCAGGTGGCGCGCGTGGTGACTGCAGGCGGTGGGTGAGCCTTTGAGTCTGGATCAAGTAACCATAGAGCCGGTGGGGGCACCCTGCTTTGCGGCTTCCCTGGCCCACGTCTGTGGAGAGCAGGCAAGAGGAGTCTAACTCCATGAGTTTAAAAACATCCGTGTTTCAAGTTGCTCACTCAATCAAGTTAGATGCTTTTAAAGACAAATGCAATTATTTCGAGCTCAGTGAAAGCCTTTTAATAAGCTGAACATCATGATTTCGGCCCTGTCTTTCAAGGATACCAGTCAAGGCACGGAGTCAGCAGGGAGGGGAGGGAAGGAGCCATGGGGAGGGGCCG